TCTTTTCTATACTTATATCTCTTTCTATGTATGTATTATTTCTATTATTGTATTAACAATTATCTGTAGCTACATTATTACGACGTAGACGCACATATTTTAATTAGAATCGCATATCGTTACATTTATTGATAATGAAATAATGGTTCCACGTTGCACGTATTGCCACAATATTTCGTTTCTTATATTCATTTCGTTTCTTCATATTCGTTTCTCATGTTTCGTTTCTATTCACATTCGTATCTTTCGTGAATTTTAATATTATTAAGAATGAACACCAACGGTAGTGAAAGACGCGTTCGTGAACGAACAGTTCACTTTGGTCAGAAAACCAAACGAAAATTACCATTTTCCTCGCGTCGATTGCTCTCTCCCTGCGGGACTGAACAAACTGGAAAGTTAACCTCAAACTCACTCGGCGGAGAATCGAAAACAAAAGTAGAAGCCGGGTCACATTATCAGGACGTCAAGGTGGCTTCATTTTTCTCCTCCCCCTTTCGTGCGAGCTGTTTCATCCCACGCCCCCTGTTGAACGAAGTCGATGCAACACCGCTTTCGTTTAACAGGATTAGATCCACGACGTTGTTTCATTTACCCCCGCTGTTCTCCCGAAAGGCGACCAGCACGTCGTGAACCTGAAGGATGAAAACGGGCCGAGCTAGATGAAAGGAGGATTTTTATCCTTCGACGTGGCTAATGATACTCGCACGCGTGTGTTTTTCACGTGGCCGAAGCGAGACAGAAAGAGGGTCCACGTTGCTTGCGGAGAGGAAGAGGGAACAGCGAAGGAGATCTTCCGCCGGATGGCCAGGCTCCGCCATCCGTGAAAGTGTCTTTCTTCGCGAAACTAGACACTCCCTGCAATCGCCAACAGCTCGACGATCCTCTTGATACCCGTTGCAAGGTTGTCTCTCTCTCTCTCTCTCTCTCTCTCTCTCTGTGTGTGTCTCTCTCTTCCTTTCGTGCGAGATTGAAACAACTTGGGGGTCGAGGGACCCGCAAGTGAACAACGTCGTGCTATTAAGTGGAATACTTCGGGCGAGGATGGTGAATTTGGCTGGCGACTTTTGCGACGCGTAGACGAGTTTCGTGACTCGAGTTTACCGACGTAACGGTCTGGGGGATTTTCTGACGGACACTGGTGTAGTTGGGAAAGAGAGAAGGAGAGAGAGAGAGAGAGAGAGAGAGAGAGAGATTCTGAGTCTGTTGTCTTGTAATTAACTCTTTTCTTTTAGTAATTTCTTAGTATTTTTAATATTCTTTTGATAGTATATTTGATAGATCAATGGCAATTGATAAATCTCCTTGATTAATTGTTAATAGATTGATTTAATATTAATTGTAATTAATCGAATATTGAGACTAAGAAATTCCATATATTGATAGTTTTCAATATTTTTAAAAATGCTGGAACCTTTGAAAAATTACATTATAATGGAGACTCAAGAAATGATAAATCTAATAATGGCAATGTTTAAATTCGAGCGTTGCTTTCACAGTTACTATGTTGAAAAGTTGACGAGGCTGCTAATTATTTGCGATGTAATTATCTGTTGTTATGAAGCTCAAACTTTGTTACGCGGACGAAATTTGCTGTGAGAAGATTCTCATTATTCTTCATTTGGATTAACACGCAGTCTTTCATTATCGCAAGTAGCTTCTGGCTAAAATTTCTCCCGAACTAGTTTCTCACGAATAACACACAAAGTAACTTGATCTTAATTTTATCATTCCAAGAATCATTTAAATGTTGAAATTGAAAGAAAAGCCAGAATTAAATCATTAGATAATTCTGTGAAATAAAGACGAATGATATTGCGGTGACAGTCGAAATATCATAGGAATTGTGAAGTTATATGAATTAACGAGTTACACGGTGCAACGCTGAAACAATTTTTCGAATTAAGTTTCACGTGTGTTTCATGGAATCGATATTGTCCTTCAATTGCGTAAAATATATAGTTGAAAGAAATGTTATTGGTGATCTTGACAACTCATCGCGTGATTGCAACGCAATTTACTTTTATAAAGTTGCTCAAAGGCTACGGGAGACTGAAAAACAAGCAATTATTTTTATTTCACAGAACGCAGTAAGGTAGTATCGTAAATGAAGATGTTTCCTCGTAGATCAAAAGACATTGTACATTGTACATCTATAATGTTCTCAGTATACGAGTCATTATTGTTCTTCAAATATAAAATGTAACGTAAAATGTTTGAATACTTTAATTAATTGGTTGGACAGGTTGCATTAAGATTGTTAATACTTTCAATACACGTAGTTTACATAAAAATTGAATTTCAGCTTTTAAAATTGATTAGTAGAACGTAATAATTGTAAAGAACGTTAATAATAATAGAGACATTTTTAATAACATATATTTATTTCACATTTCCCCGAGCAAGTTTTCCAAAATTGCTTTATATGCACAGTGATTGAAAGCAAAAGTATCGATTTTTACTAACTCGCACTTAAAAACAATACGAGCGCAATTGTTCTCCTTGGAACAAACAGTCCCATCGCCGTCGAAATTAAAATCTCCAGACAGAGGCACGCACAATAGAAACAATCTTCTAACTCCTCAAACTCGAAACAACATCCCAAGAATCTACCGCCAGTTAAACCCTTGCCACGCCATTGAAAGATCTCGAGAAATCGCCGCCTTTACCAGGAACATCCCATAGAGAGCACGGTTTCGTCGGTCGCGTATCGTCGGATGATTTGCGGTGGTAATGAACATTTCAATCGGCGCGGGTCGCCGCATTCAACCCCCCCTCGAGCGACGCGATTTGGCGCCATTCCAGAGCCATTAAAACCCGTCTTATGGGCTTTTTGCCTGGCCTTGCGTCGTCCGTGCACTTTTGTTTGGTCGCGTCGTGATAACAATAGGAAGATGGAAAATAATGAGAGAGAGGGCGGGAGGAATTGCGTAGGCGTGATCAGACGTCTCGAGACTGAATTAAAAAGCTTCTCGCGCGTGTATCGGGGAAAGATAGGATTAAACAAAAAAAGAAGAAGGACAGGGGAAGAAGCGCGAACCCTTGTGCCTCGCTCGTTGCTTTTAATTAAGTTAAACTTGAGGCGGCTGCACCTTGGCGAAAGGGTTAAAGCCCTTTTGTTAATCCCCTTCCTGCGAGGGGATGCTTTACGGGATACGTTTGAACGATCTGTAGGCGATAGGCGTTTGGCATTGGCAGTGAAATTTATCGGATTTTCGTTTTGAAAGTGGTTGGACGTGGTTACTACGTTTGCTACAAAATTGGAAAAATTATGTAACTGTTGGAAAATCGCTTGAATCGAATGCGCGAGCAGTGTCTGCTTTGTTTAGCACACGAACATGAATCTATGTGTTTGTAATTACTTCGTCGTGGACTTTTATGAAAATTATAGATTCAACTCTTACATAGATGACTACAATAGTTTATATTGAATTAATAAACGTAAAGTATCCACCCTACTTTGTTCTACATTTTACACCCTCGAAATCGTGTTTTACATTCGCATTTTACACTCAGTCGTGTCAGTTTTGGTGATTTATTGATGATGTCCATCGTGCAAATAAAGTCGTAACGCGACTTATAAATTCATGCCCGAAGGAATTATGTGTCACGATCAATGAAAATTCAATTTCAACTCATTTTATGAGATTTTTGGAGAGGTACAACGAGAGTTGCATAATTTATACCTGAAGTATTGTAACCAATTAATGGGGCGAAATGTTACGAGGTTACTGAACAATTTTCACAAGTTGCAAATTCAATGTACACAAGATTTATATACATATATTATAACACCGGTGGTTGTGTACGCTAATACTAATACTAATACAAACTCCTTGCTTGTGCAATGATAAGTAAGGTAATAAATCATCTTCCAAAGTACATATCTGTTTTACTTTAATCTCCAGCTGAATTCACCCCTGTCCACTAATAGTGAAACTGTGTGGCGTTCTGTAATGAAGGACTCGTCTGTCGAAGAGCTCTGACGCGATAGTGAAGGTCAACTTGGAGGATTACATTTGTATGAAAGGGACAGTTAGGCGAGAACTTTCGAGAATTATACGCAATGCAGAGAGGCCAGTGATTCCAGAATCAATCATAAATTAACATTCAGATGTCGCTCTCGTAACCTTTAATAATTTTGGGATCATCCACGCGAAAGTAGCGTGGGAATCTAAGAAATTAGTAAATTAGTGGAAAAATTAATTTGAGACATTTCACGAATTTTTCCACTAATTATAATTTGTATACACATATACAACTTGTGTTTACAGATGTATAGCATAAATCTGACATATGTGATATAAAATGAATTTTTACAATTTATACTTACTAATTACTTAATTCAATCTAAATGATTACACGTGGTTTCTAAATTTATTTTCTCCTTCCTTGACTTTACACTGAGAATTTATAAATCTCCAAATTAATTTGATTTGAACTGTATCCAGTTGTACTCGATATGTCAGCGAAAGTTTATTTTTAAATTCATTGCCTAATTCAAAAATATCTCGTTGCATCTTTCTACCAAAGTAGAAGTTCTATCTACAGATATAATCCGTAAAAGTGGAGCACTTCCCTTCGGAGATATAATATTTTTAGATAGATTTAAACTGCATCGTATTTCGTAAAATAGAACAATTTCGTGTCACAGTTCCTTAATAATAAAAATATACGTTTGCCAATAACTACGTGAAAGAATCATGAATATTTTGAAATAAGTTCGATTAGATTTTATTATACAATTCTAAAAACAAATTTGAACTGCTAGATTTAAATGTATCAAATTTTCTCGCAGTTTGCGTAAAATTTTCAAATAGTCTACAAGTCACGTATGTATGTGCATATATTTTAACCATACGTTACAGCTATATTTTTCCACGTAACATTGTGATCTTTTAACATATGTACGATCAGGTCACGTACGTTTATTCTACGCTTTTCCACGTTTTATTTGTCCGTTGACTGATCGTAAATCTTTCGCTCTTTCTTTGTTACAGACAAAGCGCCTTCCGAAGCCTCTTTCAGAGGAACAGAGTACCTCACGATAGATCTGAGCAAAGCAGATCCAATACTCAGCACGCAGGAGTCCATCAGTTTGCAATTTAAAACGAGGCAACCTAACGGGCTTCTGTTTTATTCTGGTAAGTTGAAATATTTATATCCGAACGGTTATCTCACTGAATTAAAACTGAGACAGCATTCTCACACGCAGAGGCATTTTCATCGTACAAATTTGTTGAAAGTTGTTAAATCTCGCTTCAGTTTCATTAGGATTTCAGTAATCTCTCTTCAAGTAAGTTGACGATCTAAAATTTATTAAAGTTGTTCCACGCTTGTTCAATTCACCGCATTCTTTGTGAAGAGTAGTGGCACTTTTGTCTTTCTGTTGCCTGATTCATCTGCGAAATTTAAAAAGTATTCGAAACACTCAAGCAGCTGAAATACCTCAAAATTCCGTCTCTGAATCGTTTAGTAATAAATGGACATCAGCCGTTATTATTATAAAATCTTGCGTAAGTAGCGAAACCTTAAAATGATGCTTGCATATATTAAACGAACATTGCTTCGATGACTATTGTATAATTTCCTCGAACGTAATGGAAAAATAATCTTCAAAATTTCCTCCTCTTGTATCTTTGAAAAGAAAAAAAAAAAGGAGCTAATAATGTACGTAAATTGAAATACTCACAATTGGATACACATAAATCACTCCGTTGATTTATCAATTTACTAACTCTATTAATTTATTGAAATACTTTTTACTAACTTATCATAATGAACTTAATAAACATAAAATTCTCGGTCAGCCACATGCGCAGAGCAAATATTCGCGAAATATTCTGCGCGATCCAAGTAGACGATCACCATCATCGACTGAATCGACAAGCAAGGCGACAAGTCGCTTTATGAAAATTCGTCAGAGGCGACACGTCCAGTGAATTTCGTTGGTTGCACGCGGAAACCTCTCTTACGGCTTTCGTATGAATTAAATATACATGGAGCCAACGAAATATTCACGTCGTCGGTCGCATTGCAGTCACTGCTTCTTACTATCTCTCGGGTCACCGTGCGACTGACGGCACTCTAGGCAAAAAGTAAATGTCCCCGGCGTGCTTCGTAAATTGCTTCAAAATTGCGGACGCTCCGCCTCCGTAAAATTATATTCTTGCGGAGCGTGGTGGAATTTTTTTTTTTTTAGGTACAACTATATTTGATAAAATTTACCGAGAGGTTTGCAATGGAATTTTTAAGAACGGCGTTTGTCAAATTTCCGTCACTTTTCGTGACGGGTTAAGACATAAAAATATAAAATAAATTTTAAATTTATGGACATAAAAATATAAAATTCATAGACATAAAAATATAAAATAAATTTAAATTTTTGGCCGAAACAGAGTGATTTTTCGAAGTAATCGTGTGCAATAGATATTTGTATTTGATACACATACTATAAAGAAATTGAATAATAATTGTCAGTCTATCTTTATAAATCTATGAATTGTTGCTACTCCCCGAAATTTTAAATCATTTTAAAATTGTACAGACGAATAAATCACGCAATTCTTTATCATTATACACACATAATTTTCTGTTATCAAGTTCAGTACAATTCATGAAATTCTATTGTGCGTATTTATTCGTGCGAAAGATATGGAAAGGGAATATATTTGTAATTATATTATTGTATACACTTGTTAAACAAAACATTTATGTTGTTTGTTATATCGCACGTTACCGATACCATTTAAAACAATTATTTCGATTTCGAGACACAAAATAAATTAATGATATAAATTAAATATTCTGGTTAATATAGATGTATTGTTATGTCGAACAGACAAAGTGATTTACTTCTCTCAAATTTTCCATTGTATTAAATTTCTCATTGGATTAATGAATAATTTTCTGTTAAATGATTCCCATTGGATCTGTGTTTATTTGAAATCTATTGAACGATTGTACGTGTCTTTTAAAAATATTAATTAGACGTTTGTATGTGTCTTTCAACAAATTGAATATTATTTTCATTCAGAAATTTGAAAATCGAAATTATTTATTATATTTTGTTTTCGAAATTATCTACGATTGTACGTACGTGAAAAATTGTGTAAAATAACAGATTATGAAAAGTAGAAAGCAGTAATGTCGAAAAATTTGTACCCTATGAAACGTAATGCAAAGAATCTCTAGATTAAAAATTGAACATTAATTTTTGACCATAAATTAAAATTTCGCAGTTCAATCACAAGATCACAGTTCGATAACAAATTAAACGATTGCAAAAAACGAACAAAACACTTTGTCAACGTCGACTATAATAATACAACACAAGAATTCACGACAAAAGAATTGACTAGAATAAATTTATTTATTTTTCTATCTCATGTCTATATATTTGTGAAAAAAAAAAGAATCATGGATTCAGAGTAAAGCACATAGAAATCACATCCGAATTAATTACTAAATCTCTAGACTGAAAATTGAACATTAATCTTTGATCATAAATTAAAATGTCACAGTTCAATCACAAGATTACAGTTCGATAGCAAATTAAACGAACAAAACACTTTGTCAACGTCAGCTATAATAATACAACACAAGAATTCACGACGAAAGAATTAATAAGAATTGATTTATTTATTTTTCTATCTCATGTCTACATATTTGTAAAAAAAAAAAAAAAAGAATCATGGATTCAGAGTAAAGCACATAGAAATCACATCCGAATTAATTACCAGATACCCAGGAAGTTGGCGGCTTCCGTTTCGTCGCTGTGTCTAATCAGCAACATTGCCAAAGACGTTGGTACAAACCGATTAGCTGTCCTCTTTTGTTTCCCCTCGTTTCCGGACGATTCGCGACCAGGCCGAAAGATCCCCCGTGGATCCTGCAGCTAATATTCCGGCGACTTTTGGTCCCGATAATTAGAGAACCGCAGCTGCCGGTTTTCTTATTGACGTCACTCCCAGAGGGAATCCATTCCTCCTTTCTCTGATAACGGGTATCGGCTGCCGTGCCTCTTCGATTTCGCTTCCAGAAGGCTGGATCCATCGACCCCCATGGCGAACGTAATATCTCACACGTGATCTTCCGTTGCTCGTTACCGGTTGAGGAGAAGGAGGGGAAGGGGAGTGTACACTCTGTAAATAGAAGCGGATAATCGCGATCTCCGCGAGCACCGGAGAATCGGAAGAAACAGAGATGACGATAATTGCAATTAGGGTCGAGACTCTAGCGCGCTGCCACTTTTACAGCCAGTTGTTACGTTGATATCGCCGGCTCTCGATTATCGAACTCTCGAGTACTTGCTTTCGACGACTCGGCGATACATTGCGGCATTACGAACTGGAGTGTATTTTTTCTTTCTTTTTTTTCCTTTTTTTTTTTGCCGAGAACCGCGAGATTGGCATTTTTGTGGTTGCTGTGTGATTGATGGCTGCAATTACGGAAATATATCGTATCGAGGGAGCCAGGTTTTCAAGATGGAAAGGGAAGTGTTTTGTACAAATGTTGGATATACTTGTCCTGTTCAGATTTTATTATTATTACTATCGTGGATTATTTAATAACGAATTTTTCAATACTCGATGATAGAAGGATTGTACAATTGTAAAAGTATAATTAATATTGTATAAATTATTGGGTACGTACAAACATACGTAGTGACTTGATGAAAAGAATAATAGAACCTATTATAAAAATTTGTTTCCAGAAATATATAGAAATATATAGAAAAAGTAGAATATTTAATAGTCAGGGGAGATAACTCCATTTTAGATTTCCAATTAGTGTAAGCTCCGTTTAAGCTCCAATCGTTTAAAAAGTTTCATCTTCAATTAGAATACATCTCGTTCACTTGGTAGAATTGCACGTTTCAATTACAGAGGATAAGTTCAATATTGCAGTCGTCAAAATCAAGCGAATGCTTGCCCATTCCTTGACATTATAAAAGAACCAATATTCCTGCAAATTATACTTGTTTCGTACATTTTTATATTTTCAAATTACAAACAGAAACACTGTGGATGTTCGTCAACATTAATACTTCTTTAAGTACTATTGAAGTTAAAACATTTATCTCATCTACTAAGTAGTGTAATCAATATTATACTCTGACTATTTTATATGTTGTTACACTTATACTCTCGTTCGTGCATTATTCAACGTAGATTATCAATAGTTGGTAGATGTTTGTGAAAATCTATTTGCATCTTAAACTTCCTTGCAATTGCCGAGGAATGTAGTTTGATGATTAGTGAGTTAATATTTACAAACTGGTGTGTACACGTGTCTCACGACGTCCGAGACAGAAAAACCGATAACGAGAAATTCGTCTCGACAGCATGGTCCCGTGCATCGGCAAAAATGTGCATAATTTAAGCTGGCCATCGGTGCAGTTTCGAATTTATTTGGGGAACAAATGAGCGAGCTGGAGTCCGTACTGCGGCGAGACTGGCTGGAGATGCGATGCGACACGACAAAGTAGAACGTGCATCGTGTGTTCATGAATATACACTCCCGTTCAAAAATCTCAGGACGAGTACTGCGTTTGTTTCAAAATTGGAAGAATTATACTATCTATTTTTTTTCTTACACAAGAAAGATTCTGTCGAGCGTTAGTGCATTAACAATTGTGTTACACGCAGTTAAAAAATTGTTCTACCTATTAATTACGAAAATGATTTTCTAGGATTTTTGAGCAAGAATATATATATATATACTGAATTTTTTACTAATATTATTTTCGAATGTTATTAGTTTGGAAATAACGTAAAATAATAATAAAAATTTCGTTTATCTTCACGAATAATCTACAACAAGTATTGAAAGTAACAAGAAACTAATTTCGTTGCTGTTCCAAGCTTTCAAAAAAAAAATGTGAAAAAATTTTGGTTTACTTAACGAAGCTTTTGCTACGTTGTACAATCAGTTTTTAAATCGGAAAGGTTCCTTTGAGAGAAAAATTTGCTTTCAAAATTTGCTTCCAAAAAATTCACGAGCGAAATCTCACTGAGGATCTGGTTAACGACCTAGTTTGGAGAGTTAAGAATAAAAGTGTCCAAAGATTTTTGAACGAGAGTGTACCTGCACGTACCTGTGCGTCTATTACAGCATTGCGGAACGTGTGCGTCTATGTGTATAGATTTCGAGTTCACGGTGGCGCAGCCTCCTCTCTCTCTCTCTCTCTCTCTCTTTCACTCTCCCCCATTTACCCTGCTTTTACCTACGATACACCAGATACTACGTTTCTCGTTGCTCGCGATGCTTATCAGCCAATTCTACTTCTGCTTAATATCGTTTGTATTAATCTTCCTCTTCCAGCCAGAAAATACCTCGCGCGTTATCCAGTGGAACGTATAAGTAGTTTATCGTACGCAAGAAGTTCTTCGAGTCCTGATTTTTATTTATATTGTAGGAATTTCTTTTTTTCTTTTTAGAGAGAACCCCGAGAGATGGACGATGTATGTTTTTTTAAGGGGTTTAAAGGATAGACTGATGGAGGGGTTGATTTATTTTTGAGATCCGCCAAATGGGGTTGGTTTAGAGAGAGGAATATAGAATGAACGGGAATGCAAGACTGTTGAGATTGTTTGTGCTGCAATTTCTGGTATAAAGGGAGATGTTTCTGGCTAGTATCAGGCAAAAATGCAAATGCAGCAATCCTGTTTTGAAATTTTTCTTAATTATGGTTACGTATATTCTGCTATGAGATGATGATAGTTAATTCTTACTTTCGGTTGGAATTGATCAATTGCTGGAATTATACAAGCATACAAATATTTAGAAAAATATTAAAATTCTTTATGCGGATTAGAAAATTGATACAACGAAATCACAAATTTTGTACATTATAATTCAACATCTTTGTATCTTTGTCGATATCACGTGTGAATGGAATAAAATCTAAAAGTGCATACACGTGCCAATATTCTTCAAGAGAAGTAAAAAGGAATGTATTTTGCGATCGATACGCATGATCTCTATGTAAACATATTTTGAAATTTTGCTTCTTACCTTTTGAATTTGATTCAAATTTACTACTCGTTTTATTCACACGAAATAAAAAAGAAAATTAAATTGTTACAAAGAAAGATATCATGTAGAAACATTAGGAATATTAAGAATATTATAGAAATTATGGAATTTGAGAAAGGATTGAAACTTTGGTTTCCTTGCAAGGGAAATCACACAAAAATGCTTTTCCAGGAATTGTCTAAATTCATGCTATAAAACTTATAGATATTGCAAAATTGCATTGCTCGCCGGATCTTCTTTACGATATCGTTTTTCATTGCGTCACAGGCGAGCAAAGCTAGACACTGAAAATACGCGCTCCTTTGGTAGCACACAACTTTCTCGGAGACAATAATTTCCAATTCTACAAGTTACAAACGTGGCTACGTAGTACACAATTTAATTTCACCAGGCTATAAACATTCCGCCCTAAGAACATTGCAGCGTTACGTTCCGCGATAAAATGAACCAACAGCGAGACGTAGACGATTCACTCGAAAAATATCAATCGATCTCGATTCGTCTCAAAGGAGCGCCACCATTTTCGAAGACGATTATTTCTCACGTTCATTTAGATCCATCTTCATCAATCGCTCATAGAACAAGGCAATTCTGAACTTACTTTTATAAACGTTCTTTTTTGTTCAAACAGAAAATGGACGCAGTCCCACTTCCTGCCCAATCGGTAATTAAACAAATTTCTATTTTATTAGCTATTAATGTTTCACATCGACATCGACGATTACTCTACCCGATTTTTTTCCACTTTCCGATTTTTTTTCGAATCTCTTCCGACGAACACATTTGCAAATGAAATTGTTATACTTCTACGACTTCTCACGCTCATTATACAACATGACATTCAAACACACACCTCTGTACTTGTTTCACATATCGATCCAATGTTCAAACACAAAAGCCTGTCTCTAGTTATAGTGTGGATATTTGTAAATATTTTACCTCTGAAATTATCAACATAAAATATCTTTCAACTTAGAAATTCTAAAGAATTCTTTTCGATTTGAAGGCTCTGAAGAATTTTTAATTAAATTTTACAGATTTGAATTTCAATTTCAATCTAGAGTCACCAACGGTCGAGATTCTTTTTTTGAGCCATTAGTAATCTTTTGATCAAAGAATGAAACAATTTCAATCTGAAGTTATTAATGTGAGATTCAAAAGAAGTCTTTCTGGTTTAAAGATTCCGACGAATTTTCGCAGATCGTCGTAACAAAAGTTTTGCTACTTTTGTGTAAATTTGTATGTACGATATTAACTTCGCAATGCTCGGATACGATGCACGCCGGAGGAACAAACGTATAATCAAGTTAAAAGTTTCAACCACTTTGAATTTCGATACGAAGTTCCGGCGAAGTTCCACGACGAACTAACTGTATTAAAGGCGAGTTATGAAGAATAAATGCATGAGAAATGGATTTTGCAAATGAAATTAAACCAAAATTCCCATACCGGTCTGTTTATTTCGTACAATGTACTTTATGATTTTATTCTCTATTTGAACTCAGTTCTCTTGCATTTTCGATCGATTTTGGAACACGTGGAATTTTATTAACCATTTATTTTTATACATAATCTCCATCTCCGTCCCAGTTGTCAGAATTCCATTATACAGTTTATTATTCGTTTTTAAACAATCGGTTTGTTTGTTTGAAATTAATGCATTATATACGATAAAATATCTGCATATACTACAATAAAATACATTATAATACAATGAAATATATACCTGGCAGTTTAATAATACACTATATTAAAAAAAAAATATATATATATATATTACATGTTATGCTTTTGTAGTGAATTTTTATTTTCAAAATATAATAATAGTACTGTACAATCAGAAACTGTACATATGTAATTCCTGATTGTTCTATTTTAGAAAATTTATCTCATCGTTAGAATTAAATTACCACATCACTATATTCAGTTGCATGTTCAACTTTATAGTGATATCATCCTTGTATAATATATGTATACTACCTTATAATCCCGAACAATGTTTTTCTTAATCTACACCCTATACAGAGTTGCATACGTACTGTATAACCACAGATTTATGGCGTAGAACAACATAAACTTTATGGAGCGTCAGGCTCTAATTAAATATAATAAACCGATGTAATATGATACTCTATATCTTTTACATATATCATTTTAATCCCTAATTGTAAAATAATTTTCGCCAAACATCTTCTCCCTTTTTTTCTTAGAGACTTCTAAATATTTTGGTAAACTTATAACAATAATATTATCAATATTATTAATATCTGAAAATACTGAAATATCTGAAAACTCACCCTTTTAATTTTTTATGCAGATTATTTTTGGAACGAGTATCTTCAAAAATTTACCAACAATACACTACGTTTGCTAATGATATATTCTTAAGTAAATATTATTTTTATCTTATTTAAGTATAATTCACGTTTGCTGCACATTGAAATTTTGCTGGCGGATTTGGCCATTTTCGTTATTGAAATTATGGTCGGGATAGTGATTCGTTATCTGGCTGGTTCTCTGGAGTATCTTGGCTGCTTTGGGCTTGTTTTGTCTTGGCACAGCTAGAGAGGACGGTGCACGCGTGGTGCAGTTAGGCATATGCAAATGGCCGGCTGCAATTAAGTCTACGATGCAGTCTGCATTTTTTACGCGCCTTAGCCCCAGAATAATTAGCACGCGGCCACGGTTTAAATGCAAATACAGCAGTAAGAGACTTTCAAGAATGGTTGCTCGACGTTTGGTAAAATGGAATTCCGGGGATACGTGTCGCGAACTGCAATAAATGACTCACTTTCGCCTTTCTCTTCTCTTAAAGCGACATAAGTCAGGAAGAAAAATGGAGGAAAGGAATCAGTTCAAAAAAATTGAAATTTCATATTGAAATAAATTGTTGAAAGATAATTTCGAGAATTCTCGTAACGTTTCCTCTGTTCCTCGTATTTTCTTCTTTCATTTTACAATTCAATGGAATTTAAAGTAATTGAAGTATTTGTAACGCGATAAACCATTGCACGGTCTTCAATTTGCAACAAAAATAAAATATTACTTTAATTCGTTCTAATTATTATTTCTACATCTCCTCACATTTATTCCGCACATGCGCATGTGTTCATGTGTACAAATTTACAAATCAGATTTAACAATGAATAATTGACAAGTAAATCAATTATTAAATGGTACTGCGATATTAATACCTTACTGTGATGTTTAGCATTAACCATCCGAACTATTTTTCACTGAAAAGATATCGAAGCAAATCCAATGCCCCGCGAAAATGCCTAATTTCATTTGATAAATGTTTAGTAGGTTGAATAATGTATTTGTACTCTAATTACCGCGGTAATATCTACGCGCCACCGTGTGACGCAAATAACGAATATTAATTGTTCGAATAAATACGTACAACCGTGTGACGAATATTGATTTATTCGTAATGTTATTACACTACTGGTGTATCTTACAATCGAATTATTGAAGAACATGTTCCCGAAATTGGACGTATCGTATAAACATCAAATAATTGTATCTGCCTGTATCGATCCTGAATTTGTTTGATTAATATCTAATTGCGAGTTAACGTTCGAATTGTTGGGATCGTGTTGGGAACAATTTCCATTCCGAATGAAACTTGCAAACTTTCGCGCTTAACTTGTTCGCGGATAAAAACGACGGTCGATCGTGGAAAATTAAATTATTTCACGATGTGTAATCAGTTCTACGAAAGCTACGAAAACTTTTTACGTATAATAACGTACAAACTTTTTAACACAAAATGTGTATACAATCGATACAATTTTTTATTATATTATTACGTTTCACAATTACAATGGACCAAGTGTCCTTTAAATATTCAAATTTTGGAAAGTCGTGTTTCGCTCATGGAAATGTCTTAGACAGATACGTACAACCTTGTACCTATATTTTATACATAAATGATGCGTGTGAATTAATTATGACTCGTCGTGTCGGGTGGTTGAAAGCAGTTTCACCGCCAAACGGCCTCCAAAATTAGTTGCCAATTTCCGCAACGAAAACAGCTCTGCTAATTCCACAAATAGAAATCGGCCGGGAACATATCGCTGCGAAAACTCGAAAATAATACAGAGATAAAACAAACCGGCTCGAAATACAAAAGCCTCGAGAAATTGACGAAACTCGTCCGGTTTTTCACGGTTACAAATCTCCCTCTTCCCCTGCCCCACCTCTGTGACGATAATAAAACAATATCAACGGTGGCAAAACAAACGGGAATAATTCCGTATCCAATGCGCGCGCTCCATTTCCACGATCCGCGCTTCAAAGGACAGACTGAAAAAGGGATGAAATAAAAAAATAAATAAATAAATATAAAAACTAAAAACAGAGAGAGAAAGAGAAAGAGAGAAAGAGATCTGGTTAGGTTTTCAACGATTTCTCTCGGCTGTCGAGCCGGCGTTAGATTAGAACTCGAAACGACGCGTGTAAATCGTTTCTATCCGCTTACCGATTAGTATCTCGCCGATTTTCCGTTTCCGGGGTTAGGCTCCGCCGGAAACACAACGGGACAAACAGAGACGAAGCGAGAGAGAAAGATAGAATTCGTCGTTAATAATTATCGCGGGGCGAACGAAGTGAAAAGCCCGGCCGGATTATGACCGCCTCTCCGCCCCGGTAGATCGGCGAGCTCGTTACGCGCGCACCAGGGATTAAGACGCGGCAAACGGCGCGTTTTATTTTTATTGTTTTCGGCCGGAGGGTGGCGACGTGGGCTGCTGCGGCTTCGTATAATTATGCTCCGGCTACAGGCCCGGATTAAACGCCCGTTCGGCGGCTCCTGTGTATCTTGCATTTACGCGGGGGATTAACGCGAATTATAATCTCGTTCGAGACCGTTCGCCCCCTTACGCGGACAAGGGTTAACGAAGTTAACGTGTAATGAGAAATCAGAGGTGGGAATATGTTGCTGTTTACGCGATTATCGCGTTTGCTTGCACGTGATTCACCGGATGTTGCACGTACGACGCAAGCTACGAGACTAGCGAGAGTAGTTTTGTGAGAGCGTAGCACCTTGACGCGCAGAATTAACCCTTTAAGCCCGAAATATTCTGGCCCGGTTCTGAGTCCGTTCGCGGTTCGATCAGTGCTTTTTTTTCAGTGTAGTTGTCTATTCTTTTCTTTTTTTTTTTTTTTTTTTTTAGAAACGAAGACGAAATCAGTGAGTATTATTTTATGTATTTTTAGACCGCAGATGTTCGTGCATTTTCTGCACATTTATAAATCATAATAAATGAAGGGGTGGTATTTAAATGGAATTTAAATATTACAATACTTTGAAATGTATTCTACTTTAAATACTTTATACGTTTTTGCATATCATACGAATTCTGCGAATTTCCTGAAGATGCACGAGCCACAGTTTATTTATATATACAGGATTTCAGAATATATAAGTGGATTCCATAAATGGTTGGTTACATAATAATATAAAGAGGAAATTTACTGGTGGAAAGATAAAAATGTTCCGTCGAAAAGTTCGTTTTTAACAACATAAAGGATTAACGAGTCATTCAATTTTCGACGAAACATTGATGATGTTTGAATTGTCGTAGCTTCGTCAAAAATAATTAAAGAGCGAGTGCTTCAAGCTCACTTTAAAGCACGATGTCTCTACTTTCAGAATCTACTTGGTTTATGTTTTTTTCAAAATTATTTCCAACTCGCGTTATGGACGGGAAAGTGAAGATGTTCGAAAAATTTTACGAATTTAAGATCTCTCTACGGTGATTGAAAAATTTCTTTAAAATATTCAGATCACTATAGATTTATTTATAGATTAAAGTCTCCTTTCTACAACCATCTCTTGAAACTTTATACAAGATTTTTTTCTCCGTTTTACTGTACAAATGAAATGTACATAATCGGCATTAGAATAAATTTCACATGTATGCTTAAGTATGCATGTATAATGTGTGCATTTAACATGTGCGCTTAGTATATGCAAAATGAGACCAGGATGGTTTTCTTTTTAATTTCTTCTTCACGAGATTATAACAAGAAATTTAGCGATTCTTTAATTGTTGGATGCGATTTTGATGTGAAAATGCAAATGAAGGAACGTTTCCTTTTTTTTTTTTTTTTTTTACCAAGCACGGTCGGAAAATCAATTCCAAAAACGTACCGCGTACGAGTGTATATTTTTTAAATAAATTCCGATATCGAATTTGGATTTATACCAGGCACGGCGCACGACTGTTGGAAGTGAATTTGATTTTTGGTAAAAATGTAAATGAAAAGTGAAGAATAATATTTTTTGACCGAGCTATCGCCAGGAAGTCAGACTTTTGAAACGCGCCGCGCAACGGTCGTGCGTATTTTCAAATAAATTCTAAAAAGATCCCGAGCTTTAAATCACTTTCAAAAAGTTGTATATTTCGATGTCCGGCCTGTTATTTGCACATTCCGGACGTTCCGGATGTTAGAGATTCATCATTAAACTGAAAATGATTTGAAAATGAAGTGAACGTTGAATGAAATGCAACGTGCTCCGAAACATTCGCTTTATTCATCATTCGCTCGTTTTGCATTTCCTATCGATACAACTAAGAATTCGTAAATTTTCTTTTACTTCGAACTTTCTTCAAACTCTGTGTACACCTGCTTTTCCACACTTGACTCTGTCCCGAACATTCACTACGTTTTCAAAGAAGATCAATTTCATTTTACTTCTCGCGAAAATCATGGGAGTAACCACGCAGCCGCGAACCACCTACCGCTATTTAATTCACATCAAAGTAACCGATCTTTTTTTCTTTGTGTCGTTGCAGGAGAAGCAGATGATTATCTGACTGTGTCTCTGAGAGACGGCGGAGTTGCCGTGGGCATGACGTTGGCCAAAGGAAGATTAGATCTGCACATAAAGCCGGTCCGAGTGCGATTCGACGATAATCAGTGGCACAAAATCATCGTTCACAGGAAGGTTCAAGAGGTAACGAGATTCATTCATTTTCGTTCCGTTCTTGCTTTAGTTAAGAAAAAAAGAAAAGAAAATTACAAAATACGAGGAAACAAATCGTACGTAAGTATCCTAAAATTCGCTCATCTTCGAGAGAGTGTGTCTTAAATGAAAGCTTCGTTCTGTGCTACGATTTTTAATTATTACATCGTGGCAAATTTGACTTTAAACATCTGTTTATTTTTTTTTTACTATTACTTTTTTCTATTTCACTTGTTTCAACAAACTATTTTTAAATAAAATAATTTTATTACGCATATTCTAAAAGATAGCGAAACAATTAGCCGATGACTCCCGTATTGAAGTAATCATTAATTTACGCGTTCGGGTACTTTTAAGCCTTACTTAATGTAAGGTTCCATTTAAATTCTCTTTCATTAAGTTTACACGACACCTGTAATTTCGTGCGTTTGATAATTGAAATTGCACGAAGCTTTCACTATGAAAAAGTAAAAGAGAGAAAGAGAGTGCTCTTTTGCTTTTATCGTATCGAACTGAATATTTTAAATCGTTTGTCGTATGCGTTCTCGTTTGCCCGATGTTTTATTCAACAGCGAAGCGAGTAATAAGCTCCTCGCGCGCATCGTTTCACGATCGAGGCCTTTTAATAATGAATCCCTCCAGGAAGAAAGGCGGCTTAACAAGTTTGAAAAGACACATAGGTGCTAGCTTCGTTCTCGATTCATAAACAGACCGCGTGATTTGCGACCAGATCTGCGACCTGTATTTTTCTTTCGTTCGTTTATTGGTTTTCCCCGAACGAAGGATGGTCGTAGTTTTTCAATTGGTACCGATATTTCGACTATATACATAACGAATATTATATATGTATAATATTCGTCATTTATAAAATTTATGAGAAATGTTATATATCTAATTTTGATTCTTCGTCTTATTTTAGATATAGTACTATATAGTATATATAGTATATAAAGTAGTATAATAGTAAAATAGTATATATAGTATATAAAATTTATGAGAAATGTTGTATATTTAATTTTGACTCTTCGTCTTACTATATACTATATATAAATTAGATAAATTCTCATAAATTTTATATACTATATATACTATTTTACTATTATACTACTTTCTATACTATATATACTATATAGTACTATATCTAAAGTAAGACGAAGAATCAAAATTAGATATACAACATTTCTCATAAATTTTATATACTATATATACTATTTTACTATTATACTACTTTATATACTATATATACTATATAATACTATATCTATAGTAAGACGAAGAGTTAAAATTAGATATACAACATTTCTCATAAATTTTAACTCGTATGAATTAAATTTTAATTTAATCTCGCTTTGCGGCAGTTGGAATCTGACCGTTATCAGAAATTAATACTAGCATTAAAAATTAATTCTCAAACCCCCACGGTCAATTGTTCTCCAAGATTAATTAAGATCGACTATTTTCTCGAGAGAAAATATATATTATTTTTGGATGTATTTAAAATCACAGACTTTCCCCAATATAATATACAAATTTCGATATTTGTTTCACGAACGAAAAATTCCTCACCTTAAATATCAAAGTCTATCGAAAACCATAAAAAAGGGAATCGTAATAAATTTCACCTCGGGTAATTACCATTGACGCGAATCTATCGTTCGCTCGCAATTTCATGCCTCAAAGTTTAAGACCGTAGACGGAAGGTTCGTAGACGTCTTCCCTATCTTCTGGAGTATCATTCTGGTGGTTCGAGCCGACAAACAAGGAAACTTCATGAAATATTAATGCCCGCGCTCGGGCCCCGGCTCTCTTTGATCTCCGATCTGCCTCTAGAATTTCGTGAACCCCGCAGAATTCTTTCTTGCTCGAGCGTGAACCAGTCGGTGGGAGCTAGAAAAGGGAAGAAACGTCAGAAGGCACGAGGGTGATATTAGTCTCCGCCGCATTCCTACGCCGATGGATCGAGCCGTTTTCCAATAGCTGTCGCGCGTTTCGTTCGCTGGGCTGTTTCGTTTCCGCTCGCAATTGGAAACACGTCGATTGGATACTGTCGTCGAGCCTGGTTCGTTAAACTTTATTGTAAATAGCTGCGAGTCTTCATTGAGACTTCCATCGACGCTCAGGGGATTTCTCGTTTCTCCCTTTTTTTCCTTTTTTTTTTCTTTTTTTTTTTCTTTCGAAGCCGAAGCTTTTCGTTTCTCTTCGTCGTCGCGCGTTTTCGTCCCGTCGTCTATTTTAATATTAAACGCGATGTTATTGGAAGGACTCGATATCGGAAATTATTGCATCGCCGGGCGAAAGGAAAATAACGCGAGCGCGAAGGTCCTGCCCGGTTATTAAAACCGTGTATCAAGTTTCTCGATCGGAGAAGGACCGCGTTTTTAATCAAATATAAAAAAGGGGTAATCCCAGTTGGAATGAAAGTAAACTGATGGGCCACTCTCAACGCGGATAAATCTTGTTCCTTCGCTGCTTTTGAAGCACGATTTCGATGAAGTTAATTCGATTGGTTTCTTTTTTCTTTGGAAGTTGTTTGAGAAGGATAAAATCATTAGAGCATTGACAAGTGTTTGTCTTCTTATTATGTTAATAAAAATACAAATCTACGCAATTATCCATGATTAATAGGAATTCTTAGTAACAATTTGTCAAGAAAGATGAAAATTAAAGTAATAACGAGATTTTAAAAGACGCGGTCGACGAATACAACGTGACTGGCTATAGATTGACTGCCACTACTTATTTTGCTTACTCGTCAGTTTACACAGTCATTCGTAATTAATAATAAATTAATTTTTAATAGTCTGTCGTAGAAGATGGAAAATATAAAGTAATAACGAGCTTTAAAGGAGTTGCGTTCAACGTACACGGCGTGTCTGACAGTATATTGACCGCTTCTACTTGTTCTATTTACATGTCTTTCTTCGCTATCTTTTTATCAAAGTTAGTAATTTAAACATATTTTAATATGTTTTACTACGTGTTTGAAATATGCAATATTTCAAACACGTACATCTTCTAATTAATTATTGAAAATTATACGAATAATTAACAAATTACAAGAGCAAAAGTAATTTTGTTTCCTGAATTCTCTTAGACTTAATACCTTGTTCAGAAGCGTTTAGTTTTAGTAACGCCTGGAAGGTATGTTGTTAGAACATTCGCTGTTACATTCCCCTTGTATCATGGTGAAAATTTGTGTTAACCAAAGTAATAATGATAACATAACTTTTATATTTTTCTTGGGTGCCCAAACCGGTCCACGATATTACGCTATACACTTTTTGTTTCCTTTTCATTCTACGTGCAAACACTGAATGTTAAATAACATTTACTTTAAATATTGTCGAATATTATTTGAAGACTCTGTTTTCCTTATTAGATACGCGGTTTAAAAATTCAATATATTTCCAATTAACCGCGCGTACTCAAAATTCACAGTTTTAATAGCTTTTTGTAATATATTCCAATTCGTACAAATTTATTTTAATAATAATAATGGGAACATAAATTCGAAATTACATTCAAAATTTCATATCAATCCGATATCCAGCTTTTTGTAATTGTATTTCAACAAATTGTTGCAAATTTGTAATGAATTTGTACAAATTTATTTTAATAATAATAATGGGAACATAAATTCGAAATTACATTCAAGATTTCATATGAATCCGAATTACTCGAATTTTCTTGCAATTTCAAACCTCTCAATTATTTAATCTACCACTTTGTATAACAGTTCTTTTAATTTTAATTTATTAATTTCCACCAAAAAAAAAAAATAAAATAAAATAAAATAAATGTTTCGACACCTCAAAAGATCGACTAACGTTCCTGTCGAGTTTCATTTTTTACCGCGGATAACAACACATTGCTATTCAGTTCAGTTCAATCGCGTCGTCACAGATGGCGCCGTCAACTCTGCAACGTGCAAACGACGAAAGAAAATCGGCTTCTCCCGATTGGACACCACCGATTTCCGCGAGCCGTCGATATTAACCTCGTCAAGAGCGGAAACATGCAACGGGATCGGGTCGATTTCGTTGTTCGCCGTCGTCGTTCCCGAAGCAAATAGATCGGCGAACGGACGTGAGAGCAATATCGTTAGTATGTCCCGGGTATACACGGACATTCATCGCGTATTACGCGCCATAGGGCCGATAATGCAATTATTTACGCGTTAACATCGCGGCGGAAAGGGGAGAGGGAGGGTAAGCCTAATACCTGTTTGTCGATTTAGCACAGTATTCGCGATCATCGATTTTACACGCGACAATCAAGTCGATTCTGTTCGCAATCGTCCGATCGATGCTACACTACTCGTGTTCGTTAATCGAGACAAAACGGCATTCATTTCAAATCCTTTTATTTCAAGTCCTTTTATTTTTATAGTTACTTTTATAGCTCATTTTTATATTTTTATATTTTTGTACGTAACATTCACGCTCGAACGAAGAAACGTTCTTTGTCATTCTTTTCTTTTTCTTTTTTTTTTTTTTCATTCGAATGCCATTCGTAACTGCGTCTTGAATTATGGATATTTATTCGTTTAGATTCGTTTGACTTTGTCAAACTGACCAATTCGTAATTTCTCGTGGAAGTTTTCTAAACTTACGACAGCGCATGCTTATAATGGAAATAATAAATTTTGATAAAGCTCGGATTCTTTATTTTTGTTACACAGTATGAAACACTTTCGATATATTCTTGTCACTTTCACGTTTGTCAGTTTCGACGCACTTTGATCATCACGAAACAGTTTCGAAGTATCAAAATTTAGAGTAAATGAACCAACCGTCGGTCGATTAATCGTACCAATTACAAATAAATCCGCTACAGATTTTAGAAATTCATCGGTAAAAGTATTGGCACAGTATATAGGACACGCGAATGAGAGAGCGCGTTCGAATCCGATGATAATTCGTTAATCGAACCGACGACACCGTGGACACCCAGTTATCGTATCCCGTAACCGATTCAATATGCTTCCGCGC